GGGGACAGGGGGAGGGTGGCTGCAGGAATGGGGGGGATGACCGCGGGGACCCGGGCAGAGACGCACAGGGGAAGGTGGACTTTACCAAGGGCCTCTGGTGAGGGTCAGGGGTCTCTAACAAAAGGGAGAGTTCCAGTTCCTTCTTTCCCATACATCTTCAAGTACTTGTTAGTTTGTAGACCGTTTTAAAATAGTGAGTGTGTTTAAAAAAATCCACCCACGTTTTCTCAGAATCTCAAAAATAAGCAAACAAATGCAAAACCACAAAGGATATTTATTTATTTATTTATTCATTTTTTATTTTTATTGTTTTTGATACGGAGCCTCACTCTGTCTCCCAGGCTGGAGTGGAAAGGCATGATCTCAGCTCACTGCAACCTCCACCTTCTGGGTTCAAGTGATTCTCCTGCCTCACCCTCTTGATTAGCTGGGATTACAGGTGCCTGCCACCAGGCCCGGCTAATTTTTATATTTTTAGTAGAGATGGGTTTCACCATATTGGCCAGGCTGGTCTCAAACTCCTGACCTGAGGTGATCTGCCTGACAAGGGATAATTTTAATAAGGTAGATGATACCAGTAACCACCCCGAGTACACATCTCATGTATTTCTCAATTGTGCACATGAAGTTTGCTTGACGTGGGGGAAAAGCACACTGAAAAATGTTTCTGAAGTAACTTCTATGTCTTCACACAATTTCTCCAGAAAAATAACATCCAACCAAAGCATGAGAACAGCTACGGCTCAGGAAACGCAGAGGGTCCGAGAATGTGACCCTCTGGGGAAGAGGATGTGAAACGCTGGAGACTTACTCACATAAAAATAAAAAATCAAGCTAGTTCCATGCCCATCCTGTGATTTGCCACCCATGGGAGAGCTACAGTGAGGTCTGAGCTCTGTTCTTTCCTGAGTGCACGGAGGGTGAAGCCACCAAGAGGCCCCACAGTCCAGGACTGGGGTCCCTGCTCCACCACAAACTTCCATTTTTACTTTATTTTTCTCCGCAAGTCAACAATAGCAAACAACCACAAACTTTTCACGTGTCCTTGGGAAAACCTCTTAAGGTCTCTAAGCCTATTTTTTTCACTTTATAAATAGAGATAATCCTATAGTTACTGTGAAGATTAAAACGGTTTCCTGTATAGTCAGTGCTTCGCATGGAGGTGGTTACAGAGAAAGCCTCAAGCAGTAGTGAGTAAGAGAGAAGTATTAGTGAATAAAAGTTAAGGCCATTGTTTCAGCCAGAGCCAAACTTTTGACGGCTTGGCAAGTGTAAAGATATTTCTTAAGAAGTTACAGAATTTATTTATTTATGTATTTATTTATTTTTCAGAGAGTCTCGCTCTATCGCCCAGGCTGGAGTGCAGTGGTGTAATCTCAGCTCAC